CTTTATCTTATGCAGCAGCCTTTTGTGTGACACCTTGTCAAATACCTTCTGGAACTCCAAATATGCCACATCTACTGGTTCCCCATTGTACTCAAATTCTTCTGTTAAAGGCCAACATACCATTTGCCTTTCTATTTGTTCCCTGCACTTAGATATTAGTTTCCAGTAACATGTCCCTTTGGATATCAACACTTTCCAATCCCTCACCATTTAATCAATGTTCTACATGGCTGTTCTGCTAATCAAAGTAACCTCACACTTATCCACATGATATTCCATCTGCCATATTCTTTCCCACTCATACAGGCTCTCTGAATCTCCTAATGTCTCTGCATCCTCTTCACAACTCTCAGTCCCATATAGATTTGTGGAGAATGTTCACTCCCCCAAAATGTGTGAAGCCAGTGCTCTGCCAGAAGGAGTCTGTAGCTATAGCCCCTCTTCAATGGGACAAGCCCATTGACACTGAGTTGTGCCCTGATGCACAATGTGTTCCTGAGAAGTTTGTATTTTGTAAAACCTTTGGGTACTGTGTTCCCGATGGGTGTGGGGGTGGGTGCTGTGTTCCTGGTAGGTGCTGTGTTCCCTGGTAGTGCATGTGGCGTGGGTGCTGTGTTCTCTGGAAGTGAGTTTGGGATTTGGTGCAGTGTTCTCTGGAAGTGCGTGTGGGGGTGGGTGCTGTGTTGTCTGGAAGTGCGTGTGGGGGTGGGTGCTGTGGTCTCTGGTAGTGCGTGTTTGGGTGGGTGCTGTGTTCCCTGGTATTGGGTTTGGGATTTGGTGCTGTGTTCTTTGGGAATGGGTGTGTGGTTTGGTGCTGCATTTCGATGGGCGCTGTGTTCCCTGGGAGTGGGTGCGGGGTGGGTGCTGTGTTCCCTGGGAGTGGGGTTGAGTGCTGTGTTCCCGGTGGGTGCTGTGTTCCCTGGGAGTGGGGTTGGGTGCTGTGTTCCCTGGGAGTCGGGTTGAGTGCTGTGTTCCCGGTGGGTGCTGTGTTCCCCGGGAGTGGGTGTTCCTCCTGTTGTGTTGTTCCGGGTTGCTGTGAGCCGATCTCCCAGTGTCTCTCTCTCTCTCTCTGTCAGTGTGAATAATCCGTGACCTTTGCCTTGTCTCTGTTGGAGTGTTTCTCTAACAACCAGCAGAGAGCCAGCGAGCCCGGGCTGGAGTTCCAGCGCCGGGAGTAAAGCCGCCAGGATGCGAGTTGCGGCCGGAGCCGCAGCGTTCCTGCTATCCCTCTCCGCCATTCCGGTC